ACTGCGCGCTCTGCAACGGCGGAAATTTCCCTTCAGGCAGACATCGATGACAGGGTTCGTGCAGTCGAGTAGCGTGAGTTGACTTGGAGCCTCCAACAGTCGTCCACATCATCATCCACCCCGATACCTCGAATGTCCGGTCCAGACAGCGAATCCTTAGCGAGGAAGACTGTCGCAGCAGACGCCGATCTCGGGACTTCCCACCGAAAGGAATGAACTCGGTGGAGGCTCGATATCGACTTCGGAAATTGGTCCGAGAGGAGCAAGGGTGAGCTCGCAATATCTCGGTCATCCGATCGGTTACGGATCCTTCATCCCGTGTTCGGGAAGGCGCGGTCACGATGCTCTGACTCGCCATGACAGCTCCACGTTACGATGAGTCATCCGTAGACGACTGGAGCCTCCGCCGGCCCTTGGTCGCGCGACTCGACTGAGTCCTGGCTTTGCGTGTGCCGGTCTGTGGTCCTCATCGTCCCCTTCTTGAGCGGAGTGGTCACCGTCGTTCGCTGCTGGCGTTGCTCCCGGGGAGGAGGGTCAGGACCGGCTCCCGATTGCACTCCACGTCAAGCTACGGTGACACCGTCACGAGCGAGGTCAAGAAGGGAGGAACGAGCCGGCGCGGCATTTCCCTCCGCTCGGAAGCCGTTCGGCTCTAAGCGTGAGCAGCCACTGAGCATCGAAGCTTCCCATCGGACAAACATACGGAGTGGGCACGCGCGGAGGCCGCGGCCCTGCCTGCGAGGAGCTTGTCACGTAAAGAGCAGCCATCAAGGCACGCCGCCTGGTCAACCGACGGGCCACGCCCCTGAGAATATTCCGAAGTCGCCTGGTCATGGGCCATCGGTCCACAGGTATACCAGTCCGTAGAATGCCAAGATTCCTTGAACTGATGACAATGCCTGACGTTCTATCGAAAGCTCAACGGACTTGCCGGAGCTCAAACTCGATGGAATGCAAGGGGCATCTGCTCCCCGGAGTCGAGGCTTGCTCGCTGAGTCTCCATCCTCAACAAGACCCTCCCTTATTCATGGGGCTTGGTCATATTGGTATCAGCGGGATGAGCCCCTGAAACATGCTTGCGGAAGGCTCGCGTCGCTCCCCGCATCCCGCGCGGGAACTCGCCGGACGATTCATCGCCCCGAGCTGTCCGGCTATAGATACGGATGAACGCGGAGCTTGAAGAATCAACGGTAGTCGATCACTGAACATTGCGCGGTATCGCTCCTGAATCCGATCGGAGAACTTGGCAGGCAAACGACTTTAGCGACCCCTGCCGCTGCCTATCCGACGTGGAGCTCTGCTCCGGTGCATCCCATTGATTGACGATTCCCGGATTCCAGAGTTCACTCCTTTCCCCTCAGAGCGATGAGGTCGCTTGCGACGCCGTGGGAATGAGCGAACCCCTCACCTCGGGCCTTTCCGTGGTGGTACGAACCACAGGCTGTGTCGCTCGCGCCCGCTTGCCGCCGATTATTTCGACCGAGCCCGGGAAATTCCGTTCTGCTCGTCGGAAGCGGAAAAAACGCACTTCCGGGGTGATAGCTGGGCTCGTGGACTGCTATCGGGACGAGGACGGATTTTCTCCACCTCCTCGATTCGGTCCCTCACTGATTGGATTAGCGCGCCCGCTATCCGAACTCGATTCGATGGTTACGTATTCGAAGTGAGCCAACAGAAAATCAACACGTAACATTGCTGCTCCCTCGCTATTTTCCTCAACTGCTGGCATGGCTCACGAGCGAGCTTTGACGTGGGTAGAGCTCTCCTACGCGGCTCGTTCCACAGTTTGACCGAGTGGTGGTTTGATTCAAGACGAGTTGCGCTGCTTTATTTAGGTTTATTCCGTTTATGACACTGTTCCACCTACACGAGTGGTAATTAATTGCCAAGAACTCTTGCGGAGAGACTTCCAAATTGAGATACGCTCAAATAGTCTTCCTCTCTCATCATACCCATGAACATGGATGTTTCTTGCTCGAAATTCCGATAGCGAGTCTCTGTAGAAAAACGATATCGCTTCCGAGCAGCGCGTACGTTGTCGACCATATCTCGAGCGATTGGTGGGGCAGCATATGCTACGGCTCTCGACGTTCACGCATCTTTTCTCCCGACGAGAGCGAAGGCGAACTCCCCCTGTCGCCGTACCCGTACGGTGCTTCATCGATATCGGATCCCTGTTGATTCGCTCCTGACTGTCGTCGGTCTTTTCACGTAATGCTCTCGACGAGGCTATGATGCCATGAAAAGCGGGAAGACGCTGGGAAAACGCGTGAATAAAGTTCGTCGAGCGGTTCCCGAACACCGTCGTCATCGTCCGCCGCTAGTCAGCCAAGAAACTCTGCCCGAGGGACCACGAGAGGCGTTCAACGGCATTGACAGTGTGAACGGGGAAAGTAAAAGAAAAAGATGGACGATTTCCGGTGTGATGGAAAGCTGAGTCCGGAAGGTCCCGCGTATCTCCCGTCAATACACTCGACGTTACCTCAGGCTAATCGAGGCTCGAGCTAGACTCGACTGAATTATCCGGGTCGGCTCCCGCTGACCGAAGAGTTCAAAATAGTGAGAGCGGAGGCAGACCGTGGCGATTCCGGGGCGGCTCCGCGGTCTCGCAAGGCCTGCGACGAGTCCTGGGACTCCCCACGATGCTCGGGTCAAAGACTTCCAATCGATCTATGGGTCTATATTAGTCATCGATAAGAATTGTTGGGACTCTATCCTGTGTACGCGGAGTCTGGACTCTTTCGAGTTCGCATGAACCCACCTCTGGGGGATTTCTGCTGGATTTCCCTGCGTAAAATCGCTGATGGCAATCTCTGCCACCGAACGCTTGGCCGAGCCTCTTCGAAAAAGTCAAGTATAGCCTCGGCTAGATAGCGGACTCTTGGGCATCTCTATCGGTCGCTATCCGAAGCTGAATCAATCGAGGAAGAGAGAGATCTCCACTGAATTCAGACTTTTCCTCCCGTCGATTCTCTGCTGCTTTGAGGATGCTGTTTCGAGAGTGCTCGCGATAGACCACGATGACGCCTCCGTCGTCAACCTGCATCTCCTCGCAAATCGTGAATCGCAAGGCAGACCCCAGACAGAGTTCGCGCCGCTTCGACGCGAGCTCGATTCGCACGATGAGGTAGCTGGACCACTTAACCAGGGTTCCCAACTATCGGCCGCGGGCCGTGACCGGTGTACCGCTACAACCCAGCGACCGGAAGCGCAGGAGGTTCCGGACCGAGACTTCGTAGGTTCGCCCATATGCATATCAGAGATTCAACCCGATCGGGGGCTAGATCGATCAGCTTCCATATCGGAACCTTTTGACAGCTGGGTCGAGGTGTCTTCAATTGTACACGGGAGGAATATCCGAAGTCCCTGTCACTGATTGATTTTCCTTGACCCTCCGGGACCTGGGATTCCTCCACACAGACGAGAGAAGTCATTGATACGCAGAGCAGGTGTCCAAACATAGGATGCTGTTAAGCAGCCCAAAAATAGGTTCGCCGAACCCTCCGCGGCGAATTCCTCGTTGTGTCACTCCGGACTTACGAGCTAGCGAAGAATCGTGCTGACCGATCGCACGGTGACATCGTGCGACGACGAGAGCAGAACCCTCCTCGAGTCCCGATGCATCGCGAAAACTAGAGGGAAACAGGAGGATTATGAATTATGAGAAATACAATTCCAAACGTAGAGGAATCACGTCAGCATCAGTTTCCGAATGGGTGGTCGGGAAGGAGATCGGAAGTGCTGAAGGAGCGACGAAGGAGAGACGAAGCTCAACATTCCACAGTTGTGATGAAGCCGGCAAGGGCAAATCGTATCTAGGCGAGGGTGATGAATTCGTTATGTTTGCTAATGAGATGACATGAGCCCATGCATCCGCTGAATTCATTGACGGAGCGGAACCCATTCGGATACTCTTGACTTACGACGACTCGCCACACCCCAGGGCACGTTATTCGTAGCGCATCCTCACCGGCTGGAAGGTCAAAATGAGAGAAGCTCGACTGTGGTGACTTCTCCGTGAGCGCTGCCGGCGGCAAGATCACGGCTCGAAGAATGCAGCGTGGGAACGTCGTCCGCCATTCGGCCCGTTTCCGAGTGCGTTTTTATTTCTTGAGTGTTTATGAAAGTCAGCAACTCTCGAATTCGCGGAAGACTTCATGGAGACCGAACATTCGAGGATCCGACGATAATGCAAAAGTCGGAGGTTCGGGATTCTGAGCAAAATCGATCCAGCGTATATCCGGAAGACTTCTCTGGATGATCATCGGTCTGATCCGCGATAGGAACAATGCTGTAGGGCGTCTCCCTCGGATTGCGGTCGTTCGTAGATAGAACCAATCGAGTGGTCGATTCCCACGGAGGTTCATTCGAATATCATCGGCGGGAAACTCCCTGGGAACGTCATCTGAAAAATTCCACATCATGAAGCCTTCCGAGTTCACTCTGTCAAAGACACAATCTATGACTTCGTACCTTCCGTCGAATTCTCCGACGCATGAGAGTCTTCCTCCTGAAATCGGCATAGTCTCGTCGACCGGATGCGTTCAACAGAATTCAGAGAATCTCCGATCGAGTTCTCAGTCAATGTTAGAACATCCCCCTGACGTCTCAATTTTCTGTTGTCGCATCAAGTTTGATCCCACGCGCCTGTCGAGGTCTGCGTCCACGAGGTATCTTCCCTTGATTGGATAGAATCGGCGGCGTCGAAATTGAGCGTATCGTACCCTGCTAGGAGGACTGACAGAGTGGGATATTGTCGTAGCGTGCGTCGGTCATGTCCCACCGGGAGTGAATAATTTATCATCGGTTCCTTCTCCTCCTCTTCTCAGAGGACGAGACCTACGAGACCGCCGATAGGTATGCTCGAGTGAGTATCGATCCGGAGAATAATCGACATCTCGGCACCAGCCCAAGGAAGACCCGCCGTGAGGCTGGTTCACAGCAAATCGAAAACCGTATTAGGCACAGTATTCGCATCAAAGTTTTTCTTCACGTTCCAGCGTCCGTCACGTGCCAGGAGAAACTCTTCGATGACGACGAGCGCTCAAGCTACCCGAATCACACACAGTTTCGGTATTACCACTGCCCGGGAAGATTCCCATCGAACCACACCTTGTGCTGTGACCTTGATCAACAGAAATGCTGTCCGCCATTGCGGCATTTCTACGAAATAGACAAGACGTAAGTGTTCCCCTCCTAAGTCTCCGCATCGGCCGTAGCCTGTTCTCAAACTCTCGGTCTTTGAGATTTGATTTTGCCCAGTCTGCGCTTGCTGTGAGCGGAGGCGAGCTGGAGCTCTAGCAGAAGATTCGGGGCATTCGAATCGCGTTCTTTCGTTAGCCCGATAAGAAGCAGGGCTTGAACTCACCCCCGCGCTCCGTAAATATTCGGAGAGCGTTGCTTAGCGAAGGGCAACCATGTCAGAAGATTACAGGAGCAAGCGAAAAAGCGAAGTCGAGCCCTGTTCCGTTGAGTGACGTTAGTTTCAGGATTCGCGAGGTCGAGTGATGGTCGCTTCCTTCCGGTCGTGCAGTGATCGAATTTGCCAAGCCGCGGAGGCCAAACCGCGCATATCTACGGAACGAGAAAGACGAGCGTAGAACCCCGGGTCCGAAGAATAGATCCAGACACGACCGCGGTTAACGAAACAAAGGATTCATCGGGCTCTCTCGGAAAAATCAAGGAGCTGAGCATCAACGTCTTGAACGCCTCCCTTCGATTTTTCCGAATATATTCAAGTCCGCGATGTCTTCCCATAGTCGAAGAAAAACCAATTTCTGGGGATGTTTGCGCGTGAATAGAGTTTGCTCCCCGAAAAGAACGGTAGTGGCGTAGCCTCTGCAGCTGCTCACTCTCGCGCTCGGCCTGGGGCATCGACATCAAATAGAGAGTTGAGCCCAGCAAGGACAACATCTGCGTGAAAAATGCGCAATCAAAGTGTCAGAGCTCCGGAGGGGTAATTGAGGTTCTCCTCTGCCGACTCTGCTCGACCCTGCACAATGACACCGGAATGCTCGCAGAGCCGTCAGGAATTAGGACATTGGGGGAAGTGTCCGACGATGGGGTGACTCATCGATAATATTCTGATTTATTGAACGAATCCTTTATGATCCATTACCGAGTGCAAGATGCTGTTACTGATGCCGTCACCAGAACCCTGCGAAGAGCCCTGAGGCCTACGGGCCATCGGCCCTGCGCATTTTTCTGATCCTCGTGCTGTAGCATAGGTTCCGGGAAAGCGGCCCCTCACGAAACTCTTATTCGTCATCCGCCCGTCTCTCCGAATGATATTCTATGCACGCGGCTGGTTCTTGCTAGGGTTTGTAAGAAAATGCCTATTTCATGAAAAACCGCGAATATTGACTGCTTTATCCGATGTCCCCCATAGAGTCCCATGTTGGAGAAAAACCGCAGTTGCGGCTAATGACCGCGGTCGCGAGGTTCTTACCCCGTCTCGAGGAGGAAAGCGCGTACAAGATATACTACAATTCTTTACCCTAAGAAAGTGCAATATTTATTCCAGATGGGCGGTCGTTATCTCGGTCACTGTGTCCGTCTTGTGCCTTCTCATCGGGATAACCTGCCTCGTATGCTGCTTCTGGAGGAGATGTCCCCTCTGGACATGCTGCAGACCTCAACCAAAGCACGATGTTGCCTTTTCGGATCAATATGAAGAAGTTCCAGTTCTACCTCCGGAAGAGAAAAGCAAGAAATCCAAAGCTCCGTTGGCATCACTCGCGTCCACGAATGCCAGCCAGGATAGTGAGTTCTTTTGGAAATTCGGAGCTCATGAAGGAAGAATTGAATAATGTATCATCATAATGTTGATATAGTTCGAGGCACTGCGGTGAACGAATCGCGTTCGAGAACATAATGCAGCGCGAGAAGCATCGATCAAATCTAAATTCCTGTGTTCTCATTACAGATCTCGATGCTTAGTCCGCAACGAGGAGCCAAGTTTTGATGTAAATAGGGCAGGGAATATATGTGGAGATCCAGAGGGGCGTGTTTGCGAGAAATGAGGAACCATCCCATATATGAATGTATGTCGTGGAGCGAGCGCTGTGTGGGGCGACTTGAGCTAAATGATAGAATACTGAGTCTCGTTAGTTGGGAAGAGCCGGATCCATCGGCATCGTAGGCGAAGCTTCTCCTCGCTCGCGAAAACTCTTCTTAGTTTCTCCAATCGTGTCTCACTGGAGGGATGAGAATGACGAGTCTCCACTGGAAAGATCTCCGACCATCCAACCGCGGTGCATAAAATGCTCCGGTCTTGCAGTCAATTTGTACTTAAGCACGGCATGATTCTTCGGTGTCGCATATTCGAGTAATAATGTTTGACTTGGTTGATTCGCGATTGAACAAAATCATCGCAAGATGCGCGTCTGTGTTGCGACGGATCAAGGTAATCTTCGAGAAGGTCTCTGCGGGAAGAATGTCTCAAAGAGCAAGACATGCACGCTCTGGACCAAAGCTTAAGAGTACTGTGTGCCATGCCGCATCAGGGAAGACTGAACGAGAGTCGAACATGCCGATCCTACATTATAATTGAGTCAAATGGTCAGAAGATCAAATGTCGAATCAAATATTCAAGCAGAGGAGTAACAAGCGTCGCTCGCCAAGGTTTCGGAGCATCGACATGCTGAGAAATGTATTTAAAACGGGAGATGTCTGAATCTCCCTCAAGACGGGTCTAAGACTCGGGTGGGAGATCCTTATGGGAACCTACGAGCCTCAGATACTCCGTGGCTGGGTTGCTGAAGATTCTCATTTTTATATCTGTATTTTAATAACATTCGCGAACGGGGGTCTCGGAAACTGCCGGAAAGCGGTCCCTCTCATTGTTTGGTGTACATAAGCACGTTCGATTATATTATACAACTTGCTATGCTGTGCGGAATAAACGGTATCAGACTTATCGAAGAGGAATCGAATCATCCTAAGGTTCTGTTCATTAGAGGTGCATGGCATACAGCAGCGTGAACAGCGAGTAGGCTCGACTCGCACCATGACGCAATACGACACTGAGTGACGGGAGCAAGCTCGGGAGACCGTAATTCTTGTTGATCCTGGGGAAATATCTCCGAAGTAACGGATAAGTTCCAAGCGGCTTCTCCCATAACACACGTCAGTAGCGCATCGAGGCAGCTTGGAAACCCCCTCGCTGACCAGGTGCGCACAATCAGATGGATCGCAAGTGTCAGCCGTCCGGCAATGCAGTCCGAGATTCTCGCTCCCATGCCATCATCTGGCAGAAACGAGTCGATCACGCTGAAGGTATGATCTGGGAAATTAATTCCTCCCGGCGATTCCCCGCCGAATTCACGGCGGATCGCGCGACCACATATATGTATATACTATTGATTCCTCATAGGGGATCGCTCCATAATGGCACGGGAATCCACGGTCCGCAACTTTGTAGAGGCCCTGGCTATCGCTTCGTTCCGTCAGTCTGCCTCGCAATCGAATTCTTCAATGGACATATTTATCCAATCAGGCGACAGGATTACATTTCGGTTTCGGCAGGAACCCTGAGCTGGAAGTAATCATGACTGCATCCCGTCGGGTATATGTAGACCTTCCACCAGGTGCGTCCGCAGAGGGGGCTAGGGGGCTATAGCCCCCTCCAAGATCGAGAGTTTGTAATACTAAGGTATAGGAGCGGGTCGCCATGTTGGAAATCAGCCCCACTGGAGGACACGATCTAGCCCCCCCCCAAGAAGGATCCTGTGGACTCCACTGGCTTCAACAACCGTAGACAGTTTAGGGCTGTGGTCCGCAATCTTTTTCCGCCCGGGGACCCCCTCGAGGGTCCATGAGTCTTGTGAACCCCTTCTTAATTGAATTTCCCCCTTCGTATTAAGCATATTTTGCGAGAAACTCATGTATGTTGCCAAGATCGCTTCACGCGCCCTGCTGCGGAACACTGGTCTAGAGTCTAAACCTCCACATCCGAGGTTCGCGACAAGCATCCCGATGATCCTCGGACGCAGCTTTCGCAGAGTCAATGGCGAGAGAGCGATAGAAGTGCAACGCTCGTTGGCAGCTCGACTGCTTTACTGATCGTTAGCCCACATCGTCTTCGAAAATCTGCTGCGGCGTGTAATAGGACGAACACTAAATCTTATCCTCATCCATGCAAGGAAAAATGTGGGCTCGTAGCATAACATGCGGATGCTTGTCTGCTCCCTCACACTTCCAAAAAACGGGCGTATCCGGCCTCACCTCACCGCCTCTATCCGGAATTGGGGACTTCCAGTTAAGTGTAGAGTGGAGGAAAATATCGTCACAATTGTGTATAGAGTTTATTTTTCTCTCGTGCTTCATCAAAGTCTCAACAGTGATCGCAACAGTTTTTTACATGGTCCACGGTCGCGCAACCCTCCTTTGCTACCCGAAGACTTTCGCATATACAGATTTTATACAGATTGGTATATCTTACAGTATTTACATCTTTTACGAACTCATCATCAACATTAACTCGATGAGTTCCATATTTGCTCTACCTAATTGGCACGTAAGGATCATTTCGAAGTGATCAACGACAATTCCTAACGATTGGTCTCACAATATCAACGTCCTGAGCAACTACGAACAACCGCCCCCGTCCCCGGAGATGATCCTCTTCAAACAACGAGCCCTCTTGCTGGCTTTTTCGACCAAAACCTTTTGCCTGGCCAGTCTCTTACAGACATCAAATTGAGGAAAGAGGCGGCAGTGCAACGAGATGAACCTGCAATCATGATATTCCGCGTAAGTTTCACGATTGGGTAAATATCAGAGGACTCGGGCAGCTTCCCCCAGAGCAGGCATAGCTGCAGTTCTCACTCCTATCCGTCACTCACCGAGTCGGATCAAGACGTTGGTCGAAGGAGGCGTCGACACTCAGAACGTTCCCGTTGCTTGAGTAGCTGAAACTGATCTGATCTTTGAAGCTGTCCTGGTCGAGATAGCCGAGTGATTCCAGGTGTGAATGGAAATTCGGGAGGACTGTGAGTCGTTTCTGTAGGAGGACCTCCACGATGTATCCCATTGTAACATCATCTGGCAGACGGATGGATTCCCCTACGTCGGTGAAACGGCCCTCACTGCAAAGAAGCCGGGATTCTTAGAAGAAGGCAAGGGATCGACGGATAAGGAAAGAATGGAAAAGAGGAGAGTAGAGCGAGCATCTCCTTTCGTACGAGTGTACGTTCCCCTGCATTAGGTCGCCTGAGCAGATCCAAGCACCGATCCGACGCTCATCTGTGCCTTAACAGAAATCATTGACTTCGGGAAAATGGCTTCGACGAAATTGCCGAATTATTCCCAAAAGACAGAATTTATATCCTGTGTACGCGTTCTGGTTCCCACGCCTTCCTGCCATCTGCCGCACGGGTTCAACACGTGGCTGTGCGCGTTGTTCTAATCGTGGCGAAGACTCCGGACAGATGTCTTCAGAAGCCTCGCGTAAGGCGCACGACAGCTGGTCTTCGCGCTGTAAAACCGGATCGGCATCGGACCTCTACGGCGAAGATTGTCAAGAAGACAGCAATGGCAACTATCGAACACATACAGAGTCATGCCAAGCGAGCATAATAATTCATCGAAATATTGATTTTTGAGTTTCTCCCGCGAGCCCTGACCGAAAATACATTTCGCGGGCGAGCCATCTCCCGAGTTGAAGATGGGATCGAGAACCTCGAGGGTAGTTTTATCTCTCGCAGGATCCCCTTTCGATCTCGTTATTTCCCCGCACCATACCAGGGCGTCACAAAAAATGCGTCGTCTCTTCTCAATTTGAGGCAAAAAAATTGAGCGAGTGACGCGAAAATCACAACCGACCTAGAGGTTCAGTTTGGTGTCATGAATTTCCTGGGGTTCGGTCTCAAGTAGGACGTGTGCGACGGTTTTGGGCGCATGCCCGACTTCCTGAAGAGCCCCCGACAATATCTCAGGCGGGCGCCTCTTCGTAGTCGCTAGATGATCGTCTTCGCATTCGTAGAGGTACTAGTCTGTCTGAAGATTGTGTTGCGCTGTCTCGACCGACCAGCGAGCGTCGGACGAGCGGTCGGTCGACCCAGAGGCGTGTGGGGCCGGAGCCCCACGTGCTTGATTATGGACCGGGTTTTTGAGCCGACAAGAGAGGAAGAAACACCTGAACCAACCATTCAGCCCAAGAGAGCCGACCAACATAAACCGGTCAGCTCAGCGATGGAAGCATGCCAGTTTTTAGGCTTGATACGAGCGCCAAAAACTTCATACCGGACCGTTACTTCTAAGCGAGCCGCGATAGCTGAGTCCCTCGGTCTCCGTCCCTTTTGTCCACAGTTCAGTAGGCTCGAGAGCAGTCTTCATTTCGCTCATTTAGGCGGGCACTAACGAATTTTTTGGTCGACAGAAAAATCCTACGAATCTCGAAACCAAACGATCGCATCGATACAAATTAAGTTCGAGTAGATCTTGTTTTTGTGTGGAATTCAAATACATGTTGATAAAAGGACGGGAGCGCCTGTGACCACCTGAATTCAAGTCGACAGAACTCACAAAAATGAGCAATGAGCAGCTTCTCGTCCGTCCTTTTTATCCAGAGAAATGTGACTTGGACGGTCTAAGGTCGCTCGCGCTCCTTCCATCTTGAGCCAGTCACACCTGAGCCGTTCGTCTGGTTGAATGCGTAGAGCCATCGCGATGCATCGGCTCGAATTTCTCTGTTCTCATTTTTGTTCGTGGTCATAAGCTGGCCGCTTCTCGTAGCGCTAAATCAGTGCTTGACTTTATGGTCAGAGCTCTTTTTTTAACCGACGTCTTCGAGCGCAGCCCACGCTGCTTCGAGAGCAATCCGTGGGCGCTTCGAGAAACTGTTTAAAGTGTCTACCATGGAAAGTAATGGAGTGCAGTCAGACAGACCGTGAGATCTTCGGGCAAATTTGCGCCGTTAGGTTTATGGTCAAAACAAAGTTGGCTCCATCAGGAACCTAGGCCTCTTCGTGTGAAAATCACTGGAAGGCACATATTCCGTGGGAACAGTGAAACGAAGAGCTCCCAGAAACGTATTTCCCTCTTCATCTTTGGTTCTTACCTCGCGATCGGTTTCATCCGGAGAGCCAGGGCTTTGCTGATGCAGAATCCGGCACCACCGGTGCCGAACCAGAACGCCACGTTCTCGGGATGTTCTCCTCGAGTTCGTGTTTCAAGAGGGTCCTTGATCGATGTCTTGCCAAGGTACCAATCTTTCCTGTAGTCGTATTCCTGGAGGTGTCTCAGTAGTTGAGGAACATTCACATAGTTGTCGTCATCGAAGTGACACCACCATCTGCGTGAGGGAAGACGTAACTTGAGAAATATCCCTTGCGAGAAAACCCAGTCCTCACGGCTCGGTCCCCTTAGTCGATACGTACTTTTTTCGACTCTGCAAGTAGAAGTCGAACTCGGCTCCCATCTTACAGCACAGCGCTCGTCGATTGTGCGATGAGGGACAGCCCGTGTTGATCAAATGGTTATCTGGGAAATGACGAATGATTTTAACTCGGGAATCGAGGAGAGACCGGGGTCTCTCGAATGCTCGTCGACTTTCAGGAGAAGTCGCTTTCTAGAGAAAAACGGGAACATCTCCTTGCACGGATCACTTGATCCCCGGAGGCATGGAAAGTCATGGAATCGGAGTCTGGGACATGGATCATACCTAAACGATGCTACAAAGCTCAAAATACTCGGATACTTACATGTCTTGCTTGAAAACTCCTCATCGTCCTCGTCAGTGAAGAAGTAGGTCTGGAAAAGAGGTGATAACGTCAGTGATCTCTCTGTGGGAAGCAGCTTGAAATCTCCGGATCCTCGGACTCAATCCTCCTGCATCCTCCACGGCATAGTCGGGAGACGAGAGAAAAATCACGACTCGCGAGAAGCGCCTCTATCACGCCGCTCACTGGGGATCTCGCAAACGGGAGATTTCCCCAATCTGAGCGAGCCGTAAAGATGATGACAGGCGAGCAGGAGCGTTATTCTGTAGTTCGGAGTTCCGAAGAACCAAATCCCCACATTTTGACGTCAGCGAACGCAATCGAACGAATAACAATCGGTTCATCATCCGAAAGCGCTCGTTTTGTGAACTCGTGCACCTGGGCTGAGAAGGAGGTCCAGTTTCGCCACAAAGCGCTTTCATTTCGCCGGTTTTTCACTCAGTCAGTCAGTACTTCTTCTACTTTCCTCGTCCAGCCCGTCGGATCGCTCTGCGCAACGGCGAGGCCTCTCGGGAAGAGGAATATAGAGAGAAAAAAAGATCGAGAAATCTATGAAAGCGGCGAAAGCTGGGCGGCCACGGGCAACTCGACGACACGCGCAGAGACGTTTTGTGGCTCGTTTTTCTGCCTTCTGTGCGTAGCACGACAGGCCAGTCGTGAAATTCCTCCGATTTTGAATTTGTTGCCACCCTTAAACGCTATCTCTGAAAACCGTTAAGTGGCCAAGTTCGCCCAAGTACGATAAGATATGCGTATCGTTGACATGCACGGTTTTCGGTCGGTCCTCGCGACCAGCCGTTGCCGGCGGGAACATTAGAGCTCGCGACCGCGAGGGTTCAGGGAAGCTCGGAGCGGCAAGTCTGATTGGAGATGCGAGTCGGAATGATTCCTTCCATCGTACAGGACCCTCCTTCAAGGATTGATCCGTCCGCGTCGACTTACGATCGCGAACTATCCATGTAGCCCAAAGACTTTGGGGAAACTCCATTTCGATGAGCTCTCTCCGAAGATCTGCGAAAGGAACCACTTTCCCCCATCCTGAGATTTTGCGGGACAGGGGAACCCGAATAACATCGTGGATCTGATCAGAAGCCCGGAGACCGCCGAAGATCAGAGACGATGTCGACGCAGTTCTCTTCGGGAGCGCTCTGCTCTGGATCGGCAACAGCATTTCGCTTTTACGACTCGCATCTGATCTTCATTGAATCCGTCGCAGGTATGAGCTTCACCGAAATATTCGATGCGTCTGCAGTGGGACAACGAGCGCAGCGCGTCGATCGAGTTTTATGTCGGAGCCCAATGTCTGGAATACATCGTACTGATAATGCGGAACGGCGTAGTCTTCGAGTCGCTACGACAGCATGTTGCGAAACGCGGAAAAAAAAACATCCAATTCAATAAGCATGCTAATCGAACCAGAAGAAAAATGAATCTAGCCGAAAACCGCCGCGAGCGTTGCCGATACGACTTCTATCAACGAGAATTCGGAACCATCGGACTTAGACCGAAAATCGTTGTTCCGTCTCTACGCAAGTTTTCTTCACAGAGCGGGGGCTCGGATCCAAGTTGACACAGAATTCCGGTCGCATCGAGGGACTGGACTTCATTGATAGCTTTCCGAGTATCTGTTGCGGTGCTCACCTGATCCCTGGCGAGCTTGAACCAGGTCTGTAGGATAACGTCCAGGCGACTCCGGTGGAACTTTTTGGTTGTTTTCACACTTATGAATAAATCCTCTATGGTCAGCCGAGGCTCACTACTGTCAGTGGTTGTCGTTTCGGGCACATCATACCGAGAGGAGGCGCCCTCCGGACTCGTCGGTAAGTCGGGTATCGGGTCCTCGTCGAGCACCGAGAGCCCGAGGTTCGTGACCCGGTTCGCGCTCGGCGTACGACTCAACTCGTGATTGCAGGCCAGCACCCAGACCCCGATCAGGTAGGCTAACGTCAAGAGAAGAATGACTATTGCGAGTTTGAGCTCTCTCAGCGCACCGTAGAGCACCCCGAACGGCATGACAACTACGACGGGCTTGCCGCTGCCGCCGCAGACGTCGTTGCCGCTGTCGGTGTCAGCCATGCGTATCGTAACGGGATACATTGTCACGGAGCGCTCCGAGAATTCTCCGGACAGGTCTAGTTGGGGACCGGGTCACGGCACGACATCTTCGACTCAAGATTGAAACACCGTGTCTCCAGACGGCACGGAGCACCGGTTCGATGGCATCTGCATCGGCTCAAACCGCCTTTTGGTTTATGTGCCCCTGTGGCTGGCGATCTTCGTCGAAGACGGCGATCGGTTGAGAGAGGCCTCCGCCGCCGCCCTCTCCTCAAATTCTTAGCGATTGAAGAAAACATTCAGATGGTTGTGCGCGTCTATGTGGTCGTCGTTGTTGGCGTCGTTGGCGGTGTGTCTTCTGTGGGGTCCGTCTCCTTTGGGACGGGCCAGCCGAAGAGGAAGAGAGCCAACCTTTCAGGAATGCAGCAGGGGCGAGCCGGGGTAGGGCTCGTTCGACGAGTTTACACAAACTAGCCAAACGCTCGCTCGCGCTGTCTGGACCTTCGGTAGGCCGACCCAGGCGCGAAGACAACCTGTTGCTTTCAGAAGAATCCAACAGTCCGTTTTGCACCTCGAGGAGAATCATCCGTTTGGTGTGGGCAACGTCGGGATCGCGGTTGAACCAATTGGATCGAGGCGGGTTTGCCGAGAAACAGAGTTGTTAGAATCGCAGGTACTTCCCTCGAGGTTTCAGGCCTGCGGTTTGGGTCTTGCTGGTCCGTCAGTCGATTGCTTCTGGTGAAGGTTCGCCCAACGGTTTGACGAGCCCGTGTCAACAAGAATCCAACCGCGGACGGTCACCGCGGGTCGACGTCGGCTTCTTTTGTAGCGATGCATCGAAAGCCTCCGCATGGCCCGCGGATTCATTGCGGGACCGGATTTTTTTTATCCCGAACCCGGGCTTCAAACCTTTCGATCATGGATTCTGGCTGCGGGAGGAATATGGGCAATCCAACGGGGGTTGGGTATCTCTGGATTATTAGAACGTTGCCTCGTACGAATGCTCCTCGTGGAATGTCCCAGCGGTCGACGCGCAGAAACCCTTCCACCATAGCTTAGAAGAGCAACGGTTTCCTAGATGTCCGCAGGAGAAATCGGAATTCGTGACGAAAGATACTTGACACTGTGGACGTTTATTTCGGAGCTGGCCGAGCAAGCGGTCGGGCGCCCGCATCATCTTTCGGCGCCATCAGAATACTCAGAATCGATGTTAGCAGTCACCGTAAGAATTGCCGTCGTGCCCGTCGTATCGTTCTTCCTCCTTCTTCGTTCATAACAGTCTTTTACAACCGTCCGAACGAGCCGCCGTCGGGAGAGCGCTCCGATGGCGGATAGTCCGCTAACATTTAGCTTATTATGCTCAACAATCACCACGGCTGATTTCAGGTGCGAGAGAGAGAGATAGGAGGTCGGGGGTTTCGATCGAAAGGGTCGCCAAGACTCTGCGCGTTCGTTCGAAACAGTCGAAGGCCCCCGGGTCGAACCTTCTATTGAGTGAAAGAGTGACTCAGCCAGCTAGCCGAGCTTTCGGTCGGTCGCTTAGTCAGTCAATCGACCTATCAAGGGCAGCGAGCGTCTTCCTTCGAGGTTCTCTTGTTCAGAGCGAATCAGAGAGGACCGCAGGCTCGATCCGTCGAAGCGCCTCTGGACATCGGCGCTGTGGGAGAAACACTTTGATTGACGAACAAAAAGGAAGAAATTCGAGAGCGCGCACTCGTAGAGCCAGCGATCATTGGGAACGAGCTTTCGAAGACGTCTCGTTATCAAGCAGCGTAAATAAACATCGCCTTGAAACACGAACGCGTCTTTGCTTGACTCACGCACTGCGAGTAGTAGGGATTCGTTCTGGCCTACAAGATATCCGACCCGTGAGAACTTCCAGACATGGGAAATTCCTAGAGCCGGACGGAGGAGCGAGCCTAAGCGTTGTCCTATGCACGTCGAAAAGCGAGAGTTCAAATCACAATGTTGGGCATGAAACTCAAGCGATCAATATGACTCACGATGAATACGGCAATAATTATACTATTGAGCCGTTTTGATCTCCTTTTCCTTCCGTGCATTGATCGACTTTTACTCGAACTACTCGATGGAGATTGCAAGCGCTCACCGTACAGAAAGAATGTGTCACGTAGGGAATTCTAGGTCGGTCTCGCTTTTCTCGCTCTTCGTTTTCTTCGTCTGAGGTCACCATCCGGCGTCTGGCTGCCCGCAGCGACTGATGATAATACACTCTGGATTCTCGTTGAATTCCTTCAGCGGGCAGGTCTAGGGATTATAACAACAGCGATGCGTGCTAGAAGGACACAATGACCTGGAGGAGGTCGTCAAGTTCGGCCATGAAATCGAGAAACCCGTCCAAGCAAACCTTCGTTCGCCGATGCCCACGAGCCGTTTCACGAACGGTCGACTCATACATTCCGAGAGTGCGCTGACGCTCGCTGGATTGTCTCCTTATCTCTTCGATCTTCCTCTGGTCTCACAAGACCCTCTTCTTCTACCGAAGATGGGACGTGAACAGATTCATTGTGACTGAATGTTAATCCTCCATGCGCGTTCGAGTTCTGCCTTCGATCGTCCGAAAAATTCCTCCGGGGATCTGAGGAATGATTCAAAGCTACAGAAGAGCCGCTGCTGGAATAATGCTGGAAGTCTTCCCCGGTCGTTGATGTGAGCCACGTGAGAATCTCCATCGCGAAATCAAGTGATCGGAATTGCCGGACTAGTTTGCGATCTGCGACTTGGCTTTCCCCAGTGATTCTCCGGGACTCTCCGAGCTACGGGCATCGGTTCGACATTCTCGAAAGACACGGGGCGCCTCGGATCTTGTCGCAACAAGTTTGGGCATTCTCCGATAGGCACCGACCGGCCCTCCCGAGACTTCGAACCAGGATTGAGCAGGCTTCAACGCGCAAGATGGCTCGAGGCCCGTGGACGTTCATTTTCGCTGACTGTTCAATTTGTTTCGAGTACTCGATAGGTGCCTCTGACAACCTCATCGAATATAGTATGCATACGCGGGGAGATTCATAAGAGCCATGAATGGTAGAGGGGAATTCCGCCTACACTGAGCTAGAGACACCGCACCAGAAACTTTTGAGCTGACCTCTTCCTTCTACCCGTAGAGGACTCGATTATGACGAAGCGCGGCGGCGCTTCAATTCACCGACGGCAGGGGGATCAAACGTCTCGAAGCCAGAAATCGGACGTAAGGGATAGAATGATCGCGGATAAGCAGGATCTTGCTTGTGGCTCACTCGGTATAGTCATACAACGGTTGTATCGTTCTGCTAGAGATATTGACGTGGCTCATACATCGGTCCTTGGACCCTCGGTCCCGCCAGAACTTTTGCCGCTCCTCTTCGCTGCTGGGCACGATAGGAGCCCGGAGCCGTCTCCTAGGATACGAACTCAACAAAGCGGAGGAACTCGGAGCACACGTTGAGAGAGCAGGGACTGCCATCGACGATAATTCAGTTAGAAATGGCAGCGGATAAACTCGAAGTTCCTGAAGCCCACACGTTCCTCCTGTATTCTGCGAGCGGAGAAATACAAACAGCTAGTGTGAGTTTCTCATCCCGACGAGCGCGCGGGCTCGATAGGAATCGACGAGGCCCCCGAGTCCCGACGCGTATACTTCACATAGCCGCAGAGCAATCCGTGATACACTCCCTTCCAAGTGAATTTATCATTTCAGTTCCCTTTCATCGACAACATATACTGCAAAATCAACATCGTTCATGGGAAGGACTGGCTCTTGTCGAGCGTGAGTATGGTAGCCTGAGGGCTTTGAGCTCTGAGGCATAGCACTGTCGCCTTTGGAAGAAAATCTTCATGAGTGATGATTAGGGATGTAAATTTTTCGCGGACCACCATTTTTCCGCGAATATTCGCGGGAATTTCCGGCTACTCCCCATAGAGTTTCAATGGAGGCCGGGAATTTCCGCGAATTTGGCGGAAATTTTCCGCGTAAAATTTACATCCCTAGTGATGACCGCTCTCGTCCAACGCAGGCGCCGCTCAATTACAGGGCAGCGAAGAGGACCTGACCCACGTGACGAAGAAAACCCGGGGATCGCACAATCACTTCGTTTTCAATCATCCATTCGACGTGACCTATAAATTCACGAATCCATTCGGATGTAAGCTCCAGATCGACCCTAATCGTGTCCATACATGAATGCGACTCAAAACCGAGTTGACAGATATTGCCGCTCATCCTGATCTTTTGCATCTTCCCCAGGGCCGCAATTGATTTTGAGCGTGTATGGGCTCGACACTCTCGGGAACGATGTAGTCCGAGGCTACGGAACTGTCCATCTACCGTGCATTCCTGGAAGGTTTCTACTCTATGATTTTCAATATCGTGCTCTCCGACGAACTTCATTTTTCCGCGGCTGGCGTGAGCCGATCATTTGACCGCTGTCAGATTCGAACGATATTCCCATTGCAGACACTCCCTGCGTGTGCCGCTGCAAGCTCCGGAGTCATCGTCAGTCATCCAGAGTTTGAGCGCCTTGATAACGGGTAAACGTCCGGAGCTCGTCGAAGCTAGAGTATTCGCAGATGAATCGACTCGACAGCGTAAGTTTTTGCGGGCAAGCGAGATGTTTCAGCAGACGTCGAATATTCGTTGAGAGACTGAGCGTCCCCAGAAAACCATGTGGAATACCTGAACGCAGTTCTTGACCCCGATGCATTGACATCTCTTCCACAGTCCTGCGTATGTCCTCGACAGGGCTGCCCTACGTCGAATTGGTAATGAACGTCGCTGTAAAAGATTTGGACAAGTTTGGTTTCGACGTAGGAACAATTCATCCCGCTTCGGACAGATTCCCGTTCTCTTGAGCGGGTCGACGTCCAAAATTCCCCGAATTTCAGCGGTCAGATACTAGAATTTGTAATCTGAGACGCACACGCTCAGATTGTGACTCGTTTGATCGTCTCCTCTCGGCGTCGCGTCCTTCCGTCGGTAGGGTACGCGTGGAACTTTGTAAAGCGTTGAGGTCGAAGTGTCTAGCCTATAATTTAGGTACGGTCCAATTCCTGTCCCAGAAAGAAGAATAAAGGGAGGCGCTTTGTGGCAGTTGTCAAAAATACATGATGTTATTATAATTCATGAACATCATGAATCATTGAATGAGACTCGGCCGACATCGGCAACCAACAAAGTCTCATCTTGATCACGTCAAAAGCTCAGAATAGAAAATTTGATACACGCCTCGGTTTCTCACTCTTTCCTCTCTTCGATCCCGACTCGAGCGGATATGTACATGTTCATTTACAAAAATGTCACGAGTTCATGTATGTCTACAAATCTTATCGCGCACTGGGTAGGTCACGCTGTATCGGATTTGGTCCGTGACCGACTTCGCGAAATGCACCCCTGCCTATCGTGGATCCTATCGAATGTAATCATTGAATTTTCCCCGACCGTTCAACCGAGTCCGAGAATCGGTGTCTCTCGTCCGGAGGAATTCGAGAGAACCTCAAAGTCTCTCATGCTCTACGCTCATCGGAGAACCGCGGTCACCGAACAAGTCTGTGAGAGGCTCTTCAGGTGCATGAATTGTGTCAATCTCGAATTCGATTGCTTCTCGAAATCGCGAGGGCGGGCAGGACGTCTGCAGGAAGAAGAGCTCAATCCTTCTTGTTGCTTTGAATGTGTCAGCTCTCCCTGGTTTCCCACAACTTCATATTTTCCTACGCCTTCACGGTCCTTCCTAACGATTTGATCCAATTGACTGAACTTCGCTGGCGATTGGCAGTTGATTCGCAGGTCTTTCGAGCTGCGTCTCCCGATCGCTTGAATTAAAGCTAAGATCAGCTCTCTTTCTTCTTCTTTGATTTTGGATCGTGCTGTCTCGATATCCGGCGGAGCTGACTAGGTTTCAGGAGATGTTCCGTCTGCGGGCTCAGCATCGATAGTTCGCCTTCGCCTGCAGGATCGTCTCTGTCGTCTTCCTTGTCCTCCGAGAGCTGCACAGGTCGCAGCTTCGGCATCTCCGCGCAGAACGGAAGCGGCGGGGGCTTAATCAATCCTGGAATTTGTGGTTGTCGACGGAACCTCGAAGCCCCGAGGGATTTTTCCTGCAGGTACGACTGAACCGGCTTCGTTGGTTCGGCCTCCTTCGGTTTCCGGAAACGGAACTTCGGCTTCACTGACGTTTCCGGCGGCGTCTCTGGTTCCGGGGGCTTCGGTTTCGGGGGCAGAGGAGGTGGCTGGGGCGGTTGTTGTTCTTTAGGAGGAGGGGGCGGTGGTGGGGGGGACGGTGTTTTCGATTTTGGGGTTATGACAGCTTCGACCGTGATGTCTGTCTTCGGTGTTAGACTTATGGTGACGACGGGAGGCTCCGGACTCGGTGGCGGGGTGTAGCTGTCTAAGCTCGTGGAACGTTTTCTCAACAACGGATATCTCTTCCGAGTTATGAGACTTTCGACCGAAGCCGCTCTTTGTTTCGGTAGAACGACCATCCTGTCCTTCAAGAACTTCATAACATATTCGCTCTCCGGACTTTCCGAGTCCCGAGACGGCGGCTCTATGTCTATGACCACGTCTGCGGGCGGTGTCGGTTCGACCGGTGGCGGCGAAGGCGCCGCCGGTGCTGGTTCCGGCTTAGCCGTCGACGCTGGACTCGCTCCAATGAGAAGATTGGGCATGCTCCGATGGTGGATCCACGCGCCCGGTAGAGGTTGTATGAGCAATTCGGTTTCGGCCAAAATCTTCGGGTCCATCAACATGTGCTCCAGAGCACCGCGTGACCTCTCCGCTCTCTCCGCGTTGATCGTGGCCGAATTCAGCCGTTCTCTGAGCTTGGCTTTCGAGATCGCCAGGTAGTGCAAGTCCGGCTGACTTGAAGACATATTCCGCAGCGCGGGACTTGACAGCCGTCGCAGCAGCATCGCCGTCGTGTCGTCGACGAAAGTTACCTGTGAAACGAGGGGTGGACAATTAGGCGATAAAGAGGCGTCGGAGGGGGAGGTTGCGAGTATGGGAGGGGGCAGAGAGATTCGCCATAATAAAGGCGGCATGCTCTGAATGATGATTATGTCAGTTTGAGGCCTTTTAGGTAATTCGAGCGAATTGAGCTATCCCCAATGATCATCAATCACCTTCGATGGCGATCTCGGATCGTTGTCGTAGTCTGCTTCTGGACCTTTCCACGCCTGTACTTTGACCGTTTTCTTCCCGAATATTCCCATTTTCTTCTTGGGAGCTTTCACCGGAGCCACCGTTTGATCCACCGAGCCATTATCCGCAGGAAGCTGGAGGCGATTCGGATCCTGCCTGAAGAAACACCACACTCGAATGTCGAATCGAATCATGAAACTCGAATTGTCGCATGAGAAGAACCGGCATTTGACAAGTGGAGCCCTTATGTCGACGCGGAATGCCTAAATTGATTTCGAGACATTTCTCTGACATGGATCGAAGAGAAGGATTTCGGTACTGAATTAAGAGAATGGAGGTCAGAGGAAAATGCTGGAACTGCCCATATCGACTATTTGCGACAAACAGTCTGCATGGTACCGTCGAATAAGCGTCAACTTCACCACTTTCAGTTGGGAATGATCGATACTGTCATGGGTGTCCTGACTTTTCCGGAGATAATGAGTTCACAATTGCGCACGACTTGGCGTGCGATTCTGTTTCATTTGACGTCCGAGGGGACGAATTTTCTTTCCGCTCATTCCCGTGCTCAAACATATGGGCTCCATTTGAAAATGAAACGATATGAGTTCAGAGGCAAAGAGTAAAATATGAGTTTTACGGCAGGCCATTCGGATCCTCGTCCAGACGTTGCTCCGATGCCGACGGGGTGGGAGCTTTGAAGTAGATGTGAAGAGTTGAGTCTCCCTTCTCCATGACTGATGAAACATCTTTGGAAACAGCGATGGAATGTCTATGCGACTTAAGAAGATTCCAAGTCGAAGACTTCAGCTGAACTTCTTCAGAAGACGCCTGGGCCTCGTAATCTTCTTCAGACACCTCGGGAACCACCATGGACTGTTCTTTTTGTGGAACTCTGTAAATAAATGCCAGTGATCGATAAAGTCTCTGACTGCAACAATCATGACTTCACTTTCACATCCGATCAGGGAAGACTATACAGTATCGGAGGAATGAATCCACGACAAACAGTGCCGCCTCCTCTGTACGTACTGCATCCAAGCGGCGGATCCCCTGTAAGTTTTCTTCTTATAGGCAACAGAAGCGGCAGTGTAGGGTAGTTTATAGTCCATCTTTGAGAAGTAGGAGTCTTTGACCAGGGGCGGCGGGGGACCACACAGCGTGTCGACCCCCAAATAGCACACCTGGACCGTGGGGAGAAGAATACGTTTCAGAAACTGAGCACCTCCTCGATATGTAAATTAATTACGCTTCCGGAAACGTCAGAGCGACGGGGAACCGAGTTCGAACCTTGATGTGACGATCGATGATCCAATTGAGTTCGAAGTCTTCGTCATCGTCACCGAAGGGGTTGATGAGTTGTTCAGCGACTTTCAGTAGTCCCATGTAGAGGAAATATTGCACAACCGTGAAAGCCGGGACGTAGAAATCGAACTTGAGCTCTTGGTTTATGAGCGGATCATTCGATTGAACGTACTGCCGACCGAAAAGTGCCGCTGCGAAGAACGCGTACGTGGCCAGTGTGACGACTTGAGTGTACACCAGCGGTATACTGATCCAATCGTAGCTCCACAGTAGTCCACATTTCGCCCGAAAATCGTTGAACTCCTGGAAGATCTTTGCGTGCATGAGAAGACACGGGATTGCATCAAAAGATTCCGACGGCGACATTGCATACGGGTACGGAGAGCTCACCTCCATTATGAGTTTGACCCCGAAACCGTCTGTGACCCGGCAGTCCATTTTCGCCTCCCTGAGCAAGTTGATAAACCACGTGCACGGGACCCAGAATGTGTTGAATTCGTTCGACGGAATCGACATCCAGATGTCGGCTTCTAATTTCGTCATGAAACCTGTAAGAGATCGATGAAGAATTCGGCGGTGTCCCTCCCGGAGATCAAACTACTCGCTCCGATCTCGGCATGCGGGTTTTCCGTTCATCCGTGTGGGATAGGGTGGTCGAACGAGATCACACGACGGCACGGACCTGCTTCGATTAGATGCTCCCTTGTCGGGAATCTCCTTTTGACAGCTTTGCTGATAGAGCGTAGAACGAGTATGAGCGTCAAATTAAGATATCTCATCAAAGTTCGTCGCAGCATCCGACTTCTTTCGTCTGTTCCGGGAACGTACATCGAAACCACGTTCATAACCCTGAAGAATCGAACAGTTAGCGATTGAATCCTTCCCCCCTAGTCCTGATCAATTCTACTCGTGGGATCCTCATCCACCGCGCAGGCTCTGCGTATTCGACCACTGAAGCGACTCTGCTCCATGATGAAGCGGTACGCTCAACTCACCTGTCCGGCCAAGGTATCGCCATGTATTGGCTCCACCATCGAGTGGCAGTGAATGAGACGTAGAATCCGAGTAGAAAGGATAACGGAATTTTGTCCATGAATTTTGCGCAATGATAAACGATCCTTTCGAAGATTCTTCGGGGGAAAAACATCGGTATGAAGACTCGGAACCGTCGGGAGGACTATGTGCGGTAAAATGGATACTCACTGTCTCTGGTCTTCGTTGAAGGCATATCTGTACAGCAACGACAGACTGGCGTACCCTAACGCCAACAGAGAGAGTTCGTAGTAGACTAGCTTCCATACCGAACCCTTCCATCTGAAAAGCAGCCGGATGAAGCCGCCCGATGAAGTGGACGCCACATCATACTGGTACGAGACAGTCATGCCGCCCAAGCTACCGCGGCGGAGAGCATCGACCTGAAAGTTTACGTTGACTAAATCGTATCGCTTCCTTTCTGAACGATTAACGCATTCATGAGGACTCTGTGATCGGTTCTCCACCAGCAGAACTCATCCGCGAAGCTCTCCAAAATATTTCGATGGAATAACTCCGGCTGTTACATCAGCGAAAGATCGAATCGATTGTTATCCATCCCGGGAAAAAGCATGCATCGGGGAAATGCCGCTCTGGTGGGGGTTTGCGGCATAAGAGCCGGAGTTTGAATCGGCCCGATTCCCTCCATTCGGGGAGACCCAATCGGACGCGCTATACCGTGGATTTCTCGTCTGTTCGTGATCTTGAGTTTGCGGGTTTCTAGATCGCATTCGAAAGCCTCAAGGAGGCGGTCCCACGGAGCGTCGTCAAAAGGTCCCATGGTCCATTCTCTCCAGAGAGTCGAGCCAAGTCGGATCCTGAACCAGGCCAGGTCTGGACGGGGAAGTTCCCCTATGACTCCCTTGAGGTGTTCCGGATGGATTTCTGCCGATACTCGCTCGTCGGATCCGCACCGAGAATTGCCCCTAGATCTCCCACAGAGCCTCGTCCGAGTTCCGTAGAGGTTGCCGTCAGAAGCGAGCCCGGAAGGGGCGGGGGGGAATCATCGGTTTCATTCGCCTCCGAACTCCGAGTCGGACACTCATATCGATATGAATCCGCTTAGGGTGATTCAAATTGATTCTTCCTTTCAGGGAGCAGGCATACTTCACAGATTCGAGTGTCTCTCTGAGATTTGAATTTTCACTCCCTCGGATGACTTCATTAGCGAGAACAGCGAGAGGGGGACCGTGGGATATATTTTTACGAAAATCCAGCGTCCGACCAAAAATGGCGCCGGCTACGCGCCCGCTGCGTTATCTCACGAGGAACCCCGCACGGATCTCCATGAATCTTGACCCCGCGTCTAGCAAAGAATATGCCTTTGCCGGAGTCAACCCATGGAAGTGATACCTCCTCCGTGACAGCCTGGGCGTGGAAGCCGATCCCCTCGGCAATGAGCTCCAAGCGTAGGGCTGGCGGGCTGACTGACTTCCGAACCGGAACTTGAGACCTCGAGTCTTGCTTGCGATGACCGTGCCTCACAAGTGAACATTCTTTTTTGAAAATGACAATCGCCTGGTTTGACATGCTTTTCTGAAAGTTCCCGAGCCCCGGAGCAACCCCGAGTCGTTTTTCCCTGCTGTCCTGCATTTCCTACCCCTCCTCTGCAGGCTCCGAAACCCGGAAAAAACACCTTTTACATCGAAATCCGGGATATTTTTCTCGGAATTTGATGGAAATGTTTTTTCCCAAGTTCCGAAGCCC